CAGTCTTTTTACTAATTGGAAGTGATATTTTACCAATCGTCTATTCTTAACTTATCTTCAAAAAGTCACATTCAGAGTATTTGAATTTCTATTCCACGTCTATTACGTATTTCTAAAGATTTCCATTGATATTTAAAGTTTACTGTATCTCCTTCAGGTTATTTCTATGTATGTTATTTTGAAATAAATATTGTAATCGATAACTGTTTGTTTGAAAATCAAATACACGCGATTTTCATAAAAAAAACCGTTTCACTTCCTAAGTGCAGCAATCGCAAACACCTGAGATCTCGATATTGACAAATGTGATCAAATATCTGTTCTTGAAGAGCAAATCCTAGAGTTTCGCAGTCATTCATCTCAGCAACCTGCCTTACGAATGAATATTAGTACATAATTTGACAATTTCAAGTGAAACTTACTTACCAGATTTTGTAATTAATTTCTTTTTTATTCATTTAATTTTACAATTTTTATTATCATTAAAAGTTTCGTAACAACCACTGCTCTCCGTCTTTTAGAACTTCACATCAAATTTTACTTCCCTTACAAATAGATGAAACAGCTGAGACAGCCTCGAGAAAAGTCGACAAAATTGATATTTTACGGTTAGAACAAAAGTTGTTGGTATATATTAACAATATGTATGACATGTGACTACGGTATGTATTTAATACTAAATGAATGCCAACAGATGGCACAGTAATTCTAATTTATAAAATTACCCTATACACATCTAGTAGAGCTGCAGCCAACCAAATCTACAAGACTGAAGTACACATTAAGACCGTTTTATACCGATAATTAGTAGACTTAGGTCATCCGTGCGGAGAATCTTAAAACAAATACAATAGCATAGTTAATCCAAAGATGGGATAGTAAATAGTTAGTCAGTGCAGGATGACAAACGACCGACCTTAAAGTTGTGATACTTGATACCCGTGTACAGGATAGATTTAGATCGTCAGCTAATGAATGATTCGTGTTTATGAATCTTTGTACCACAAGACACAAAAACTTAATGTAACCCGTTTAAAAGCCAAAACATTTCGACTACAAACAAGCTGTTTTCACTCTTGTCCTCGAAGACTATCATTCTTCTAAGGACCATCTCAAAGGTATCTTATTAGTTAAGAAAAACATATCAAAATCGATTAAAATGCAGGACTATGAAAATACTGAAGAGCTTTCATGTAAGAACTAATACAAAAGTATTGTAAGATAATTTTCCTAATTTTTTTTTCATCTATAGTTATCTTTAAATTACAAATCAGTCATTGATGAAATATATGAGAACAGCGATATATCTAACATAAGATGGTAGCAACCATGCACAGTACAATATTGTATAATACAGTTGAAGCAGTGACTAATATAGTCAATGAAATTCTTTTAATCCTTATAACTTGTAAAAATTATCATAGTGATTATCCACTAATGTTACCAAATGTGGTTGAATACAAATAGTAATGGTCGTGGAATGTATTTTATCGACCATCCTATATTAGTAGCAGTTTGTAGCTATCAAATTTTAATGTGTTGGCAATTTGAAGCAAACTAAACCACAGCAATCTATTTGATTACCGGAAATCTTATCCCGATATTCTGGTGCCAATCGTAAAACAGTAAAAACCGGAAACTATTAACCCTATAATGAAACGAGAAACACAAATAAATCTAATCAGTTATATGAAGATACATATGTAGTTATATGTTTTAAAATGTACATTTGAAATAAATAAATTCTTGAAAAAGTATTAAAAAAAACTGTAAAATTCGAATAATCTCAGTACAGAGTTACAGGAATTACGTCTATTTGCTAAGTTTTATTGAAATATCCCCTAGTTCGCCACTATACAGGACTTGACACTGGAAATAATAAAAATAGGTTCTCACTACTCAAAGTACAGGGTGGCCCATAAGTCCTTAGAAAAGTAAAATTTGAATTAAACGAAAACGGCGCGCGTGAGCGGTGCAGGGGAAGCGGGGGCAGTAACTTCGGTTTCTGGGAATTTAGTCGCGATGGAGCGTTTCACCGGAGCGGACCGTGCGTTTTGTGTGCGCGAGTTTTATCAAAACAACAATTCGGCAACCGTTGCGAGGCGAAAATTTCGAGAACACAAAGGTTTACACAACTTTGATGACACCCCAGCTCTCCAAACGATTAAGAATTGGGTTGCTAAGTTCGAGGAGACCGGTTCGACGTTAGATAAACCGCGGTTGGGTCGCCCAAGAACATCACGTACGGAACAAAACATCGACACAGTGGCACAATCTATTCGTGAAAATCCAACACAGTCAACTCGTAAGCGTTCCAGTGCATTAAACGTATCCAGGACATCGTTACAACGGATTTTGAAAAAAGATTTACTTATGCACCCTTACAAAATTCAGTTGGTGCAAGAATTAAAAGAAACTGATGCTATTCAGAGAGTGAATTATGCTAATGAAATGTTTAATCGGTTTACTTCGTTCAATAACATAATGTTCTCTGATGAGGCACACTTCCACATTAACGGACACGTTAGTAAACAAAATTGCCGCTATTGGAGTCCGATTAATCCAAAACTTAAGCACCAGAAGCCCTTACATAGCCCTAAAGTTACAGTTTGGGCCGCTATGTCAGCCCATGGCATCATAGGGCCTTACTTTTTTGAGGACGGCAGAGGGCGTGCTGTTACTGTTACTTCGGAACGATATGTGGCCATGATCGAGGAGTTTTTCACACAAAAATTGCAAAACTTTCCAGGCTTTAATGCCCGAACATGGTTTCAACAGGATGGAGCAACTTCCCACACCTCCAATACTGCTATGCCCGTTATCCGTCAACTTTTTCCAAACAAAGTTATCTCTAAGAGAGGAGACATTTCGTGGCCACCACGTAGCCCGGATCTGACTCCAATGGATTTTTTTTTGTGGGGCTACCTTAAGGCTAAAGTGTACGACTCTAACCCGCGGTCAATTAATGACCTAAAAGAAAACATCCGCAGAGAAATGGCAAGCATTTCAGCACTGACGTGCCGCGCAGTCATCGACAATTTCAGAAGGCGTTTGCAAGAGTGTCGTGACTGTAACGGATTACATTTGGACGACGTTATTTACAAAAAATAATTCCCGTTTTTCTAGCTATATTTACAAATAATAATATTATTCATAATGTAATTAGTTTTATTTTAATTAATTTTTTTCATTACTAAGGACTTATGGGCCACCCGTTATATCGAGAGAAAAACCCCTTGAATTGGAGAAATAGCAAAGTCAACCATTAAAGTAATTGCTCCTAAATTAAAGTTAGGAGCTATTTATAAAAATGAATCTTTATGCGTGAACCGCCACTCTTCGAGGTGGATGATTTTCTTCAAAATGAAATGGGACCACTATGAAAGTACCCCCTTCTCAACAAAAAAAGAATCATGAAAATCAGTTCACAAATACCGGAGTTATCGCGTAACATATATACAAAAAAGAACATACAGTCGAATTGAGAACCACCTCCTTTTTTGAACTCGGTTAATAAAAATGAACTCAGAAGTCACTGAAATTAGTCGAGATAGACAGCTATAGGAAGGAAGAAGTAAATTTTACTCAACCTCATTTCACTTTTTTAGTAATTTTAAATATTACGATTTCGTGTTAGTGACATGTCGTGTCCAGCTTATTATCTACATGTAGTGTAGATAATAAGCTGGAGGTAGTTTTGATGTATACGGGGCAGGACAATATATTGACCGGTATATCATTTAAAAAGTAAAGTCAATAGGAAACATTCACAAGGAAGGCATATCGTGACGAGTTTCATAGAGTCATTGAATTTTTACTATGTTGGCCAGTTTGAAGATGACTGTATTTCATCCTTGATAGGTTTATTTATGTGTCATGCGTACCATACGCTATGACGTGACGCAAACAATAGTACCATTTATATGTATAAATTAATACTTCTGTTTATGACTTTGCGCAACGACTCATGATGCGCAGACTCAACGAGGATTTCGCGCTATTGTATAGGTACTTTCTCAAGTACATAGCTGAACTGGCATTTTATTTATTTGATGTAATCAAAATATTGTTCAAATTGTGTACTTTTAATATAGTAATGCTTAACTCTGTAATAATACTAAAAGTATGTTCATAACAATTGTGAAACTAATGGGCATAAACTGCACATAGGTATACATGTCATGCCTCTATCAGTCAGTCATTTCCAGGAAATGAACAAGTGAACGGCCTTTAGGTACTCGTAAAGGCTGGGTGACATTCCCATTAAAAAGGCAATAAATACCTCATTTCTGTAAGAAGGGAGCACTCCGCACAGAGAGAGTCGCCGGACGATAGGCACGTCTCTACCCATGGAGCACTTCGGAACATTTCTACATCTCGTCGTGCACTCGTTATGAACCAATTAACATCCATTACTGCTAACTCGACCTTTAAGCTATTCTATTGTGTCATTTCTTATGCTATTACGCTAATATTATGTTGCTATTTATAGACTACAAATATTGTTAAATCACGCCAACCTGTACAGCAGGCATCTAAAGTTTCACACGCAAGGATGGTAGGTGATACGCGATGTACACGTTTAAAGAACAACATGCAACCAAATATTATCGAAGCAGTACATCAAGTAATTATCAAGATTGAAACTTTTAATATCGTTCTAATCAAACCAATAGGTCAAACTCTAAATCCGTACATAATGGCAAAACAAGCATTGCTTGGAATTTTCCACATTACAGAAATACAAAAACAAGTTTTCGAGATTTGTTGGTTTGTATTGTTGAAATAATATACGAAAATCGTACAATCTGGAATAGCCTTACTGTTTAATGAACTCTTACGTCGTGACGACCGATCGACGACGGCACCTACCATTATGTAACACCTTCCTTGCAGTAGCCACTTGCCACTAGATTATCAAGCTAAGTGACCGCATATTCAAATGTGATAAGAAGCAAGTTTTTTAGGCGGATACAAAAGCAGAAGAAGAAAGGACTAACCGATAGAACATCAGAGCAGTCGGACGTGCAACACAGGGTCGCCTCGGTAGTCGATCACGCTGAGTGTCTACAGCAAGAAGAGTCCAGGGTTAAACGAAGAAGGTCGAAGTGGCGCAGCAACATAGGTAGATTTTAGAGACTGTTTTTCTGCGTGATAACATTACCTATGTGTAGTCATGGAGCGCGGGCGGGGGCGGCGCGCGGGCGCGCGGGGCGAGGCGCGGCCGGGTCCGACTCGGCGCCGGCTCCACGAAACAAAGCGCCAGCGGACGGCGACAACGGCCGCGACCCGGGCGCTACAGCGGCGACAGTGCAGCGGAGCGGCTCGCAATATGTTATTTAAGGGCGGCGTAACAGACGGGGTCGTGCCTCAGAAGAGGGTAAATTGCGCTGAGGGCGCTAGGCGCGGTCGGTGCAGTGGTCAGCGGGCGCGGCGCGGCGCGGCCATGACGGCGGCGCGGCAGGCGGCGGCGTCTCGCGCACTGCCGCGGCCGGGCCGTCGCCGCCGCGCGCTCCCGGGCCGCGCGTCCCGGGCCCTCGCGCACGCGCGTCCGCCTGCCGTGCCCCCGCCTGCGCGCTCCGTTCCTCCACCCCAGTCCGCCACCCTCGGCCCTCCGTCCGCCCAGCTCCTCACGCAAATTGATCAGACGGATCCTCGATTGCAATAAAATTTATGATAGGTCGTGGATCTATTATCGACGTGATACCGCGAAACCATAGATAAAGATTCGAGTTCGATAAATGCAGCGCTTTCATAATTGGAAGTGAAATACGTTCAAACTATCTATCGATTAAAATTGATCTTGTCAGACAGAGCTTTCTGGTTTTCTGGAAGGCATTTTATTGTAATTCCGATTAATTTATTTGAAGGCTAAATTGCTGATTAAACGAGTTCAAAATCAAGATATGCATAATAATTTCTATAATGGCAACGTTGATCATAAGTGATTGAATGAATGAATGCCACCACTAACACTCTACACTCAACTGCCTTTGCAACTAAACTTTAATAGAATAACATAATATAGTATCGGTGGAATCTCAATTTTTTAAGGTTTAAAAAAAATTGCAGAATTGGGGCCCAGGTGAGATAGTTGCTAGGTACATGTCTATTATTTTTTTAGTAGTTAAAGTACTTAGTTTTAGTAGCAGTAGAGCACCTTGTGAAAGAGTTCGTGCGGGGAAGTACTGCCATCTTACCTATTTCTGCCGCCAAGCAGTCGCTACTAACCTTAGAATAATAACGCATAGAAACCTAGCCCGCACACGCTAAGTGAGGCAAATTGAAGCGCGCCAAAAGGGCCTACACGAGCGGGCGGGCCTTCAGTGCTCAAGGTCAACTCGCACCGCGAACAGATCAAGAATTTTAGCTAAAAATGACGAAATGTGCGGTAAATGAGTAAAAATACGTCAGAAAACATAAAATAGATACTAACATCACATTCCACAAGGAAGTAACGCGTTTTAACTTGTATTTTTATATAAATATTCACTAAAACCGAAAATTAACCTACTACTAAAACTAGCCTACATGAATTTGATTTTTGACTCACTTGTGACAGTTCGTTTGATATGAAACTATCATTCTATGCGTTATTATTCTAAGTACCGAACATTACCACTTTCCTATTTGGAAGGGGAAAGTTGTTGTTGAAATTACAGGCACTTGAGACTTGTCAACTTATGCCTCAGGGTGACGGGCGCAGTGGCAGTGACCCTAAGATCAGCTCTTAGTGGCACTGAAACTATTATGGACAAGCATGTCGCTTACCACCAGGCGCACGACTTGTCTGTCCCATCACTAAGTATTATAAAATTAAATAACTAGGTGGCTATGACATGAACTCAAGACTTATCCATGAATGTCACCAAGCTCTCATGGAGGTAAACATATGTATAGACAACCATGTAACTACATAGTGGGTGAAAGGACACAGCGGATAGGGCGGTATTCCTCAGCAATGACACAGTCAGTCGCGGTCAGGGACTCAGGTACAAGAACCGGTGAATAATACGCACCTTATCGAGTAGGACGGCGATGAATAATATTAACATTAAAAAGCGGGCATAAAGGCGATGAAACAATTTAGTAGGTATTTTTTAACCTGTTTGGGTGATGCCAGTGACCACGGCCAGTGTAACAGGGCCGAAATGTCGAGCCTGTCGTGATAATAGTAGGTTTAGTAGGTGTGCAAATACCTATGAATTGTTTTATAATGTTAGAACTCCTAAAAATTTTGGAGTGGAGAGAACATTGGGCCAAAAATATTTGTTAAAAATGTACATAAAATTTAAATGAGCAGTTTATAACAGTGACAGTTTGTGTAACTAATTCAACGGCTGAGTAAATAAGCAGGGAAGATTTCAAATGCTTAATTATAATGTTGCACCTTAGGTCTTGTGCAGCTCTTCGTACCCCTACACTACCTGACGTAACATATGACGGTAGATACTGATTTTTTGTGATAGAAATTTTTCAATGAGAGAGGTGTAATTAAAGATACTACAAACGAAATTCATGGATAACTTTTTTGTGCTTAATTAGGAAAGTTATAAAATTTCACATATAATTTCACATTTGTTTCAAGCAGTTTGTTGTAATTGTAATTTTTAAGGTTTTCATGTGATAAAAGCACTTTTGACGTACGTTCATATGGGGTATTATTATGTCAAGGGTACAAATTATAGTGGAAATCAATCTCAACAAGCAATGTGCTCGTGATACGTGTAAATTGATTCTTTATAATTTGTGTGTTCTGAGTAGACACAAATAATGAAAGTAACTTTCTTACAACACATTAACTGGTAATACAGTAGTCGAACCTAGGTTATTTAATTTTTTTAACCGATTTCAAAAACATGGACGTTGTAATTTCGACTGTATTTTTTAACCGACTTCTAAAAAGGAGGAGTTTCTCAATTCGACTGTATTTTTTTGTGCGTTTGTTACGCGAATACTTCGACATTTGTAAACCGATTTCGATGGTTCTTTTCTGTGGTCCCATTCAAATTTGAAGAAAATATTCCACCTGTAATGGTGGCAAATTAGGGGATGAATCCGGTTTACTGAATTTCACTCACTTTTCGTTAACAGGCATTGTAAGGCCACGCGGGCATTTCGTTCGTCCTTCCTCGAACCTGCAAGATGTGGAATGATTTTCCTCTTGAAATATTTCCTTTGCGCTATGACATGGGGTTCTTCAAAAAGTGTGTTTACAGGGCTCTCAAAGAGTGGCAACGCATAGGCAACTCAGCTGGTGTTGCAAATGTCCATGGGCGACGATGACCACCAAGTGGCTCAAGTGTTCGTTTGCCTCCTTCTTTACTTAAAAAAAAGAAGTAATTTCACAAACTTTAGAGGTAGTCTTCTTTATATAAAAGTTATAATTATATTGGTAGAAATTTTGTCTTACGTGGTTTCGTACATTTAAAAGTACCTATGCAATGTTGGTATGGTGCTAAATGCTATAATCATATAACGCTCTACCGCTGCACCAGGCCTTAGTCGCTGACGAAGCATAACAAAAATATTTGTGTAGTTCATCGAACAACACGTCATCCATGTGACTACATTTAACCTACATTTGTTTAATAAACCTATCACCGCTGCTTTAACCATACACGCGAAGATTGCTAATAACTAGTTCTTTGAATAAACAACAGGCGGATGAGCTGTACTTAGCAGACCCACTTATAAATAATCACGTGACAGTATTTAGCTAATATACGTTTTCGTATATTAGCTAAATACTGTCACTTCGTCGTTTGCGCGACAAACACCTGTAACCTAAACACTGCCAGTATCTGAAAGTTCACATTTTGGACAATTTGGACCACAATTTAGAGTTATTCAAGATTTTTTTTATACCATGTGACGGGACGAACAAGTAGTGCAGGTGCGCTATTTGTTTGTCCCGTCGTGCGTGGTACACGCCTGTCCATAACAGTTGCAGTGTCACTGAGAGGTTTAAAGCGCAAAGATCTGAGGGGTATTGTCCATGCACCCGTCATCCTGAGACATAAGTTGAAGTCCTTCAAAACCGTACAATGTACATGCAATAATGTTCACATTACTGCTTGGCGGGAAAAATGAGTAAATGGGTAAGGTGGCAGTACTTCCCTAGACAGAATCATTTCACAAGGAGCTCTGTTGCTCATCATACTGCTACTTACTCTCGAGTAAATAGGCATTTACTACACTAACGCGTAATGTCATCGCTTAACATGAGAGAGAAAGAAAGAGAGAGAGAAAAAGAGAGATATTGTGGTAAAACGTTCGTCTATTTTCGTTGGTAGGTCAATGTCTGTTTCACTTTTTAACCGACTTGAAAAAAAGAAGCAGGTTCTCATTTCAACTGTATTTTTTGTCGGTATGTCACGCGGCTACCCCGGCGTTTGTGAACCGATTTTGATGATTCTTCTTTTGTTGGAAAGAGGGTACCTAAGTATTGATCTCATTTAAATTTAAAGAAAATAGTGCACCCCTAAGGGTAGCAAATTAGAGTATAAATCAGATTTATTGGATTTCAACCACTTTCCGTTTACCCGTTTTCAATAAAACTTGGCAAATAGATCTAATTCCACAAACTTTTTAAGTTGGTTTATATCTTTTTAAAGGAAAGATATGTAGGAAAATATGAAACTATTTTTCCGGATTTAAATCGCGTATATTTGTTTTTTTTTTCAAACAAACCAACGTTTCTGGCCCTTCACAGGTCCCATGGTCACAGTTGACTGATGTAGTAAAGTTAACAACTAGGTCTAATATTAACTCACTCACTCACTCAATACTAATTTCACTATACTTGCAAAAAATATTAATTAAATACCTTATTCTTTTATTTTTTCTTATATTACATTTTACAAAGAACATTCCAATTTACGCTAAATTATGTTTTACAAATGATTTTATTTTAGCAATTTGAATTTTTACCAAGTTCAATTATTATAAGTTATACTATTAATTAATAATGAAAGTTAGAACAAATTAAAGCATATTAATTAGTATTGCAGTCTTATGTCTTTTTGGGATTTTTCAGGAAATACTGGATCCCAAACTGGTGGTAAGGCGAAACCATCTTGCCCGTTGAAATTAGGATGTTTTTTTTTATTTCCATTGCCTCTCAAGAAAAGTATAATTGTTTTAAACCATCTCCTTGATGAATTAAGCGTAGTTGTGTAATTGGCCAGACCGGTATTCTGAAAAGCCATTGATTTATTCAACTATTTTTGTCTTTCTTGAGTTTGGTTTAATGTCAGAAACTTAAAAATCTCTGCAACCAATATCTACGGGTGGTTGGAAACTAGCTAGATAAGTATGTAGACAGAAACGGTATTCTTCGGAATTCCGATGCATAATAACTGTAAGAACAGTACTAATTAAAGCATACCTTAACGCCAACGACATCTAGAGCCTATGCACACGGCGTATTTTATACGCGCCGACCGAACGCGCTATTACAGTGCCGTAGTAGTGGCTCAAAAA